AGAGAGAGAGAGAGAGAGAGAGAGAGAGAGAGAGAGAGAGAGAGAGAGAGAGAGAGAGAGAGAATACGGGTTAGCCTTCTCCTCTGAATGAAGTCAATAAGGTCACATAAGCTGAAAACAACGGACTAGGAAATAATCTACAAACAGAGTTTGTTGCCACTCGTGTTTCCGGTTATATTATTATAGAAGAGAATTGAATTTATTTTTATCGTGTGTTTATTATGGAAGTTGAATACAGAACTTGCATTCTGGTAGCTCTCGATCAGATTCTTGGTGTGTGTGGTGCATGCATAAAGTGCTAGCGTCAGAAATTCAACCCGGCATGCTGATATTTTGTCATTATGTGTCGGGTTAAGCTAAGTGCTTCCCTTCTACATTTATTATTTGATGGGTTTTACCTAGAGGAAATGAGAATGACGGTCAAATTACAGTGATGCTGCCACGACAGCACAGAGATTGCAAAACACCGCGGGGAATACCACACTCATGTTTATAGTAATGGAAAAGCATTTCAGAAAGATCTTTTACCCACGCGAGTGCAATAAATTCTTACCAGCGCGCATTTATGAATGTTTGACAGTTAAAAAGCGTGCATGATGCTTTGGTGTATTGGCGTTCTTACCGCTGGTTTGTGCGGGAAGCCGTGCAACACACACTCAATGTTCGTTTTCGTCGTGAAATATTCGGTTTTAAATTGAATGTATATATTTTTGTAGGTGGTGGAGATGTATTCGAGTGGTGGCGATCTTCACTTAGAGTTACCGACGGGAGAGAAGGAGGGTCCTACAAATCTATGGGTGAGTATATGTGACAGCTGGGGACATCGGTGCATGTACTGCTACTGTTACTGCTACACGGTATACTCTACGACACCTATGGTTATTACAATGTACAAATACCATGGTACAACTTCATCATGAGTTTTGTAGGGTATATATACTCTACCATGCGAAATTTTCACTTGACAGCTTGTATAATACAAGATATATATACATATGTGTATACAAGTGATAGATATTATGGATATAATATAACCATAACCAGGTACCAGTGCATGTTCTTAACAGATTCACATCAACGCTCTCGTGAATTTAATGTCCTATCTTATTTCTTTTTATTCTTATTCTTATTCTTATTTATTTATTTATATTTCTTATTTGCCTTGCCATTAACCTGTCATATTCCGTTAGCTTGACTTTAATGTGAGGCGGTGCATGACGTCACATAAATAGAGCTTGACGTATTATTGCCGTAACCGAGTGAATAAGCCTTTGCAGAAAAAAATCCGTTGAATCCGCTGTATTGCAAATGCCGTTATACTACCGGAGGGTTATTATTGCCTGGCCACTTCGCACAATAATACACTGTTATTCGATTTTGAACAGCGTTGGTTTTAATTGCATGTATCCAATGATATTCCACCACAGCTTCGCAGCTAGCATCTAGTATTCGATCTAATATTCGATGTGGTATTTGATATGGTATTCGATCTAGTATTCGATCTAATATTCGATGTGGTATTTGATATGGTATTCGATCTAGTATTCGATCTAGTTTCGATTTGGTATTCGATCTGGTATTCGATCTAGTATTCGATCTAATATTCGATGTGGTATTCGATCTAGTATTCGATCTGGTATTCCATCTAGTATTCGATCTGGTATTCGATCTAGTATTCCATCTAATATTCGATGTGGTATTTGATATGGTATTCGATCTAGTATTCGATCTAGTTTCGATTTGGTATTCGATCTAGTATCTGGCATGCCTCGTCACATGCAAGCACCTATAACTACTTCCCTATGTAGAACCCTTGTCAGTATCTGCTGTAAGCTGCTCTCGATCCTTGTCTTTTCACTATTTAGGGCACACACAAGTTGGTCGTCAGTAAGTGTGCTGGCTTTAACAAGATCTCGGTTTTTGCAAGAACGGTCGCACTATGGCATCTTCGCGCGCGCCGATTTTAGCTGTTCTCGCGATTTTTTGCTATATTTCCTTTATTTTTGCTTTCTGTTCTCGCTATATTTCCTTTATTTTTGCTTTCTGTTCTCGCTATATTTCCTTTATTTTTGCTTTCTGTTCTCGCTATATTTCCTTTATTTTTGCTTTCTGTTATCGCTATATTTCGGCTCTGCGTTGTAGACGCGCCGTGTTTAGTGTAAATAAATTATGATTAATAGTGCAGGACACGCACATACGTTCGCTTCGTCGCCATATTGATTCCTTGTTCGCTACGTGCTCTTACGTGAAAGGATATGTAATGGCTTTTTGCTACGTGATAATGTTGAGAATGGAATGCATTGACAAGCTTTACCTTCGGGTTACCTTTGCGGTATTTCACGTGCTGCGTTAAATAAAGCGGATAGACGTTTAAATGCGTTTGATTAAAATATGCAGACGCGCTACGGTCGTGGCTTTGGACAGTGTTTCCGTGAATTTGAGACCAACAGCTAGCTATAGATACACGTGTGTGAGCGTGTGCGTGTGCGCGTGTGCGTACGCGCACACTCACCACATCCCCATGAAAGCGCGCGCGTACGCACGCACGCACGCACGCACGCACGCGCATGAAGAAACGCAGAACGCATCCACACGCATGCACGCAACTGCGCAGGCAGGCAGGCAGGCCTATTCTCATGTGTATACCATGCATACCATACGCATGTACCAACCATAAATGTGTGTGTGTGTGCAAACAGTCAGACACGCATTCGTGAGCAAATAATTACACACGCACACCTGCACGTCGCTGTGTGCCCACACCGCAATATACGCACATACAAATTACTCACGCACGCACGCACGCACGCTCGCTCGATACGATTGAGGCATAAACATTGAGCTTCAGTACAATAAGTAATCTCGTATAATTTGCTTTTTTACCATCATTTTGACATCAAAATCAATTAACACAGGCACGCCAGAAGCCTGGTATTATAGCAGGAATGAATAACGATAAATTTGTCATTATTCAACCCTGATTATAGTAATAGCTCAATAAGTATGGATTATATTATACACATGTCGTTTTTTCCCGAACAAGGTAATCTGCTTTGTTTTTCCCCACCACTGCAAACAGTCTGGTATTATACAATGTACTGATCATTTTATTCACTTGGTAATATTCGTTCACCGTCTCATTTAAAATATTAATGCCATATAGCTACGAGTCGTAGTACGATGTGGTGTGTGGCCCTGCTAGCTGCATACCTCTATAGTCTGGTATGCAGATTCTAGAAATGAAAGTAATACTTGCATGTGACTTTAAAATAATACTAATACTAATACTTGCTTCTCCAGGAAATCGGACCACATGAAACAAAATCTGTGATGCGGTTGAATTTTATGGGTCGAGAAGAGAACAACCATACTGCGTTCATTCGAATACGGACGAATAAATCGCAGGAGAATGAATATCTTATTCTGCCGATGGAGGTAGAGGTCACCAAAGGTCAGTGAGCTGAGTTTATGCTATATAAGCTCGCATTAGCAGATAGTTATAGTTGAATATACGTAAAGTTGGAGTTATAGTTATAATTATAGTTATCGTTACTTCACAGACATGGCGATAATCCTAGTTATAGTAATAGTTAGTTTAGTTATAATTATAATACTTATATTGTAAAACTAAATGGATTAGTTTTAGCTTGGGTGTTTCAACTTTTATTTGTTAGTTAACAGTGTGTGCACGCTATTAGTTGGTGTGATCTACTGCAGGCAGCCATAGTGTCAGAAACTGCTTGTATCATATCTACTACTTTCACGTGATCTTCGTAAATTGCGTTCACGTCAGGGTTCTCCAAGAGCTTATATCCTGGCGGCCTGCCAGGCTATCGTCGAGCCTCGCCATCATAAAATGCACTCGCCACTCTAAATATCATAGCCCCCTGACCCCCCTAGAACGCAAACCACCTTCGGCGATTTGCAACTAGGACCGTAAAGGCAGCACCCCCATGCTATAATGAAAAAGCTTGGAGAACCCTGCACGTTCGCAACATTTTGATGTTCCCATAAAAAATATGTACAGAATGCCCGAGGGGCAGTCAAGTTGCACGTATAGCAGTATCCGTATAAGTGGTCAGATTGTAGGCTGGCTGTTAAAGCGTGTGTTCTAGTTATTGATAATATCTCTTACAGGGGGGGGGGGGGTAAACAAGCGCTGGCCATATACGATAAACCGAAATAGTAACGGGAATGGCAGAAGAAATAAACATATAACCCAGAATGTTTTCGGCGCGCGAAGTGGAGGCGTGGACACCGTGCCAACGCCGACCGACCACGCGGCTGCTATGCCGATTGTGCAACGTGGGTCAAGGAGAACCGAAAGCTCATATATGCACATGATGTATAGATCAAACAGCCTATATATCGCATGTCCACTGTGGTGTAAGCCTGGGGCAGCGTTATAGCGGGAGCGTTGTAGCTGCCCTATTTTTTGTCGCCCGGGTTTGAAATTTGGCACAGATTCACGCGAATACATATTTGTTAGTATTGCCCCCACCACCTGTGGCTACTAGACTTCAGCTGTTAATGTACTTGCAGTTAGGGTACACTTGCATAGACTCGTGTGGGGCTAATAAACTAGAATTACTCGTTAAATTTAACTCGTTAACTCGAAAAAACCAGAGGTTAACTCGTTCTCATTAACTCGTTAATGTTGTAGTTACAATTATTATAATAATGAAATGTTTAGAGTTCATACGTGTGCTTCTTTGACCTTCTGGGAAAGGCAACAACCTGTGGACAGGAGGGTTAAGCATTTCATGCATCCTCCTTGTGGACATCTCTGTAAATGCCACAACACTCTCTGCACACAGATGCCCCCGTTTTGCTATGAAGCAGAAAGCTGTCGAACCTTACGTATATATAGGGTTTCCTCTGTGGGTCCTTATGGGTGGATTTTACGTTAAGTTTACGGGTTTCGGTGGCTGTACTAGTAAACGCTCCTTCTTCCTCGGGTCACTACACTACACTCGACCTAGCCACTGCAGCACACAGGACCTGGCACGGTGGTTGGAAACCTCAAGATATCCAGGTCTACAGGGGTCTAGGAGATGTTCTGTTGTCTAGTCCTCCCCACAGTCACATTCGCTTGGGCCATCATCAATGTATCCCCAGTAAACGGTGCTGAACGTTGAACATTGGCAAGTTTCATATATAACGGTTGCATTTCGGTGCTGTTGCAGTTCCTGGCATCTACGCTCACGCTGGCCTGCTAGACTTTGGCACGCTGAGGACCCATGATCCGCCGGAGACCCTTCGACTCAACCTCATCAATTCTGGCCTCAAGTCTGTGCACGTCACTGTAAGTGTGCATGTGTGTGGTGAAGATACTGTTGTATATATTATATATTTATATATATTTATATCGATGTATTGCTGTTGGAAGCAGGGTGCTCCTCTCTGCTGTGTGCCATCACTGTGTGTTATGTGTATGTATCAGGAGTCTATAGTAATATTGATAGACTCCTGTATGTATGTAGTCTGTCTAGTATGTCTGTAGTATGTCTAGTCTAGTCTAGTATGTAGTATAGTATCTAATCTAGTATGTAGTAGTCTAATCTAGTATGTAGTATACATGTCAAGGTGTATGTATGTAGGGGGTCACTCGAGGCACCTAGAGTCACCTGTAAGTATGCATTTGTCCCATTAAACATGGTTAGCTTGAGGCTTTTAAGACCAAGAGAATGTTAGAAAGTTAGAAGAACCTGATAGGACTACTGTATGACGAAAGTATTCGTTCATGGGTAAAATATTTATTGCTGGGATGGCGTCAGTTATTTTCGCCTATATTCTATAAACTACCCCAGTGAAACTACGCTCTCTAGTGATCCATGCAGGCTCCTGTTCAATTTCATTCCGAGTTGAAATTGCTGTTACATGTGTAATAGGTTGTTGTGGGAATAGCTGTAAGTTAACACGTGTGCTATTTCTGAATCATTTATATCTAGTTACCGGTATCATATCAGTCTATCATCACATATCAGTACGAACATCATACCCTGTAGATGAGAACCTTTTCATCAGAATAGGGGGGGGGGTGGCTGGTGATAACTCGTTCATACTGTCTGTTTTAGTGTATAGAAATGTTGGTTAATTTCCCCGATTGTCTTTGTAGCTAAGGTTAGATGGATCATCTTATAAAATATTGATATTAATGGAAACGGTCTTCATATTAGATTAATTAGTCGTAAAATTTGCTTTAACTCGTAAATGCGTTCTGCTCTTGGTTTACTGTTTCAGCTATATAATTTTAAATGGTTTCACACAAAGCACTGTCTTAAAGATTCCGTCTGTTTGATTTATCAGGCCATATATGTATTGGAATTTCATCACTATGCCACCACAATGTGATTAATGGTGTGTTGGCCTAATGCATGGTGTGATGTCAACACCATGATAGCTTGCAGATTGTGGACCGGCTTTCCGGATGTAGCAGCTTCACCATCTCCATGTGTTATCATGTCTTTCTCTCATATATTTCAGTTCCTAAATGCTGTACATGTTTTATTCAGAAAAATGTTGGCTTGTTCATCAACAGCCGCCCGAAAGTGTCATGTTAGAGATTGAAGGCTCACCGGCCTTTTTTTCACTCTGCGGGATTAGCTTGCGGAGTTTCTCGTTCAAACTTTTGCTTTCTGTCTTGCAGAATATAGAGAGCAGCCCACCGAATCCCGCCATACAGATAGAGTTTCGACCGATAAAGCTTAGCTCTGACATAACACGCTTCACTACAGTTGCCTTCATCACATTCACCGGTAAGCAGCACGTTTTACGAATTCTGCGTGAAGGAAGTGCTTTGTATAGATGTGGTAAGTTGTGTAATTATTTTAGAGGTGGATGGATGCACTCTCTCTATACCTCATCCTTCTCTCGCTTATATACACGCATGCGCGCACACGCACGCACCCACATACATGCGCACGCGCACACGCACGCACGCACGCACGACGACACACCACCACACACCACCACACACACCACCACACACACCCCACCCACCACCACCACACACCCCACCCACCACACTACCGCACCCCTCCACACACACACATGCACCCCACCCACACCCACCACACACCCCACCACACATGCACCCCCCTTCCACACACACACACGCACACCCTGTCTCCATCGCTCTTCCTCTCTCACTCGCTTGGATTCATCGAATTGTTGGTAGCGGGAATAAACGAATGCACGTTGTGACTACACACACACACGCAGCTGCTCGGTGTTTGCGGGAGAACTGGGTCAGTAGCATGATATTGAGCATGCTTCCTGCCAGCCTTCAGGATGGAGTCCAGCTGCTAGTATTGGAGAAACAAAAAACGCCGTGCCATGCCGCTTAGTTTTCTGAATGAAGTGCGCAGTAGAAAGTACGGTTTTCTTATCGAGCCTCGGCTTTTTAATCTCGACTGTAATCAAGAGCTAATTAATATTTTAATGATAACCATCTTTGCACCGGTTTCTGTTCGGCACGTTTGTGAGTTTAATAGAGAAAGGGTGCTTCACCGGGGAAGTGATGAGCGAAGCCTTCTTGCTAGCTTCCTGACATTCACACAGCTCTCAAAGCGACGATAATACCTGTCGACCTTTTCCAGGGAATGCTTTAGCGAGAGAAATTATGACGTTTATGACGACGTGGGGTTTAGGAGGGGATTTATTTTCAGCATTTCTTTGTTCAGTCTTTACAGATTGTTAACAGTATATCAGTGAGTTTAAATGCCACGCTGGACAAGCTCAACATGTGTAAATACTAATTGAATGGAAGAATGGAGGGAAGATGAATAAAAAGGAATTAATTAGTAACTGACATTATCTGAGTTTTATCATTATATTCTGATACTCTTTTTGTAATATTTAGACTAATAATCTACATTAGGTTTAATTAGCAGCAGGCATAATTAAGCTTTACTAGATATCCAAGTCATTTTTATGTTAATTTCTAGTTTAATGTTCTTTCACATTGCGTGACTGACAACATGCTCACGTTAAAACGGATAGACCTCGCAACAAAAGGCCTATATAGACCTACTGTGAGCATACGTGCAGTGTGCAAACATCACGAAATGTTCTAATTGGGCCAGAAATGTGCTCCGAAATTGACTATTTTGACAACACTGTCAGATGCAAGTTATTTGTACGAAATGCCAGATAACGCAAAATAGTATCCATACGCCATAGCGCAAATAGTTCATGGAACGAAAACACTATATTTGTTTCGTGATTGCATATGTAATGTAGATAACGATATATTTAAACAAATTTCACAATTGTGTACTGAATAAACATATATAATAATGAATTATAACTTGTTTTATCATAGAAAAGAACTGTTAATGATCGCTCCGCTGTGTCCCGGATGTATAAACAATAATCATCTCTGTAGTGCTACTTTCGTAAGAGAAGTAATTTCGTTTAGATTTTGAGAAGAAATGTTATGAAAGAAGCAATAAAAATGAGTTCTAGTGAATTTTTGCAACATAGACGAGCTCACAGTAGGTCTATGTATGCATTTAGCTGTGAGGTTAAGCAACTTTAAAACTTCATATTGGGAAAGGGATATTCTGTAGCTTTCATGTTCAGCAATTGTAAGCAGACGATGAATTACAGAGTGGTAACGATCAGTTACCATGGTCTTCTTGTCTGTTCAATAGAAAAGCCAAAAGTGTTATTTATAGGCAGTTGTCCTTTTTGTTGAGGTAACCCCTAACACCGGTTTGACCTTTACAAATGCCGAGACCGATTTGCATAGCAAAAACAAGCAAAAGACTGTTTTAGTTGGTTTGTTTTGGTGTTTTCATTTTTTTATTTGTTTTATCGACGGAGAACCATATGAGACATTTAAAACCCCTGTGGGACACGCACACCAGATTTACGCCATGTGTTTGTTTCGTGCGCAGCTTCAAAGGCCGTCAGTCCGAAACAGTGGTCGGGGAAGATACAAGTGCGGACGAAGAATAGTAACTACAAGCTGACCGTGCCATATTCGGCTAACGTCCTGCATGGGTGAGTAAACGAACACAGTGCACGAAACTATCTGTTGACACTCCGATTGAAGTCTCTATCGGATTTAACGCTCGATGAATCGACAGGCTTCGTGTGGGTCGTGGGAAACCTGAAAAGACTGGAATTCTATGTTTCAGGTGTGGAAGGTCTCCCAATGGAGGCTATGGTGGTGGGAAATTTGCTATTGTTGTGATTGGTGTTAGAAAATCGTTTAAATTAAGCTCAGTCAATCTTGTGTGTTCTCGCGTGTTTTTCTGCGCGTGTCACCGCAAGCAATATCTACGTCCAAGATTAACTAAAGAAGTAAATTATAATAGTATGGATAATAATAGTATAGTATAGATAATGCCTACTTCTTTAGACACAGGTCGTTGATACACGAACACAACATAATTATAATAGTATGGATAATAATAGTATAGTATAGATAATGCCTACTTCTTTAGACACAGGTCGTTGATACATGAACACAACATAATAATAACAGTATAGTATGGATAATGGATAACTAAAGTAGTATCAGGAGTCTATCAATATTATTCTATCTTTTATCTTTTTATATATCTTTTATCTATTTTTATCTATCTATCTTTTATCTATCTATCTATCTATCTATCTATCTATCTATTTATCTATCTTTATATATCTTTTATCTTTTTATATTTTTTATCTTTCTATTCTTGATATCTATCAATCTATTGCCTATTTCTTTGCACACAGGTCGTTGGTACACGAACACAACAGCACAGAGTTTTTCGTCGGCAAGGCTTCGCCCGTGCAGTCGGTGCGCGACATTCTCCTCACAAACACGTTCAACTTCACATTGCAAGTCTTCAACGTCACCATCCCACCGGAGGTCACGCGACATTTCAGCGTGAGTAACGCACGCACCCGACGATCGCTCAGCATCTGTAACCGTAGCCACGATCGTGATCGATAATTTATCGTCTGTAGCGATCGATTAAAATCGATTACAGAAAACGTTAAAAATATTTGCCGATGGAAAAAGAACGGATGAAACCTGATTAGGATTCACAGTCGTCATTAGTAGGCGAGATAATTTACATTTAACGTGACATTGACTGATTGTGATTGGTCACCGATCGGTTTAGCGCAACGAATGGTCAATTCTGAAACTCCGATCAATTGCCGTCAACATGATGCGTGATAAACCACCGTCTATCAATCGTTATTCTTGATACGTCTGGAACTATACCTAGCTATTTTGCACTAAATTAAAATACAGTTTAATTATTATACTTCATGCTTAGCACTCAGCAAAAAGAGATAGAGTGTGGAAAATTGCATGAACATATGAAGTAGTGCCCTGTGTCTCCTACTACATGCGCAACCAAAACCCCTATGAAAGATTAGGGGCGTCCTGAAGGACGACTAATTAATATTATTATTAATTATTATGGTTACAGTTAGTACTATAATTACAGTGTACGATTAAAGTTTCGTACTCATTTGCCTCGGAAAAATTATAACCTAGTCTCACTAGTACCACAAACAATTGCTGTCATCTACTGTTAGAATTTCAGCATGTTAGAATCATTGCTGTTAGAATTCGATCGTTAGTGCTGCGGGTCTTCCAATTACTGTCATCTACTCTGTTTATCGTTAGAAATAGATATTTCATTAGAATTGCATCGTTATCGCTGCGGGTTTGGATAATTTTTTTAATATATTTTTTTAATGATTTCGTTATTTCCAGGTATGTTACAAACATGTTACAGCCATTACTATACATACTTGTACATATATATATTTAACTTATATATGCAATTTGATATGTAGGTATACTTTGGTACACAATAACTTTATACTTAACTTACATTTGTATGTAAGTTATTTTATATGTACGTAAGTACATTGCGGGTTTGGATGTTGCAGGTGCTCAGCTTTGCGCCAGATTCGAGCATTGCACCGCAGCAGACGCGCTCACTGTTCAGCCTCGACTTTCATCCGAACAGCACAGAGTTCAGCTTCAGTACGAACATACGCCTGTACACAAATGCGTCGGATTTTCTCATCCCACTCATCTGCTATAATGGCAAGCTTAAGGTGAATATTACGTTGTGTTAAAATAAAAATAAATGTTTAAAATATGCGTCTGACTTTCGCATCCCACTCATCTGCTATAATGGCAAGCTTAAGGTGAATATTACGTTGTGTTAAAATTAAAATAAATGTTTAAAATATGCGTCTGACTTTCTCATCCCACTCGTCTGCTATAATGGCAAGCTTAAGGTGAATATTACGTTGTGTTAAAATTAAAATAAATGTTTAAAATATGCGTCTGACTTTCGCATCCCACTCGTCTGCTATAATGGCGAGCTTAAGGTGAATATTACCCAGCCCACGTCATGTTAAAATAATATCAAATCTGTAGAATATGCATCTGACTTTTTTATCCCACTCACCTGCTATTTATAAGGGCAAGCTTACGGTGATCATTGGCTAGACAATGTCATGTTAAAATAATAACAAATCTGTAGAATATGCATTTGACTTTCTCATCCCACTTATTTGCTATAATGGCAAGCTTGAGGTGAATGTTGCCTAGACAATGTCATGTTAAAATAATATCAAATCTGTAGAATATGCATCTGACTTTTTTATCCCACTCACCTGCTATTTACATGCTTTTCATTAGTGCCATTATCGGAAATATTCAGTGTTGTCCACCTCTGATAACACCTAAAAATAAACAATGTCTAATAGGCACATAATAATTGCTTGATTCTCCATGAAGTTAATTGCAGAAATTCCCGAGGTTTGACCCTATCTTCTGATGAGACAGGTCTTCATGGTTTTTTTCAGTTTATTCCCCATGGCGCAGAGAAGCATAGGATGAATTTCGGTACACTAGGGAAAGGGGAAGAGCGAAGCATGCTATTCACAGTTCGCAATGACAACCCTGTAGATGTGAGTATACATTCTCTTATAGACCCAATGACAACTCTGTATATGTGAGTATACATTCTCTTATAGACCCAATGACAACT